GGCCCCGCCCCCGCCCGCTGCCCGCGGGGGGCTCTGCGCGTGCGCGGCGGGAGCCTGAGGGGAGCGCGGGCCCGGCCCTCTCCCGCTGGGAATAGACAAAATAAAATAAATAAAAATAAAAAATAAAAAAATAAATGGGGGGTCTGCCAAGGCCGCGGTTCGAGCGTTAACGTCTCCTCGGGACGTGCTTGCGGCGGGCGGCGATAAGGGGATGGTCATTCTTCTCACATCCTCCTCAAAACGTGTGTGCGTTGGACCCAAACGCACCCGCTGGAGTCCTCTGATAACGCCGGGTGTTTGCTCGCGGTCATCAAGGACGAGCGCGATGATGGGGTTTTGTTTCTGAGTTGGGCTGAGCCCCGGGCCTGGCACCCACACCCTGAGGGCTCGCTCTGCCCAAGATGGCGACTCCTGAGGCGCCCAGCTCCACCCCAGCCTCCGAGGGCCCCCCTCACGCCACCACCACAGCTTGGAGCCTTGAGATAACCTTTATGTGATTTGTAATCTGGGCAAGGTTTGTCACCATAAGCAGCCGGGATCCCTAGTGAAATAAGAGCTCTTTGGGGAAAATACATCCCCTCACAGGAGAGAAATCTGCACACAGAATTGTAGAATGGTTTGAGATGGAAGGGAGCTTTAAAGGCCATCTAGTCCCACCCCTCTGCAATGACCAGGGACGTCTTCAACTCAACCAGGTTGCTCCAAGCCCCCTCCAACCGGCCCTTGAACCCCTCCAGGGATGGGGCCGCCACAGCTTCTCTGGGCAACCTGGGCCAGGCTCTCCCCACCCTCACACCAAACAAGTTCTTCCCCACAGCTCAGCTCCATCTCCCCTCTTTCAGTGTCAAACCTTTCCCCCTGGTCCCATGTCTCCCCTCCCTGATCCAGAGTCCCTCCCCATCTCTCCTGGAGCCCCTTGAGGGACTGGAAGGGGCTCAAAGCTCTCCCTGGAGCCTTCTCTTCTCCAGGCTGAACCCCCCAACTCTCTCAGCCCCCCCTCCCAGCAGAGGGGCTCCAGCCCTCCCAGCATCTCCGTGGCCTCCTCTGGCCCCGCTCCAACATCTCCATGTCCTTCTGCTGTTGGTGGCCCCAGAGCTGGAGGCAGCACACGCCAGGAGCGTGTTGTACAGATGAAGAAGCCACATGTGAGCTAGGAGTGTTTATTAGAGCCGTAAAACAATACCGAGGTGAAACAGTCGCTATGGGGACAGGCAGTGGTGAGGAGAGATGGTGCAAAACACCTGGGGAATGGGATTTGTCCATCGTAAGGCCACGCACCCACCAGGAGCTCTGGAATCAGTGAATACATCATTTCTGCAGATCAGCTTCTCAAAGCGCACCCACGGTTACAGACCCATCTTTTTCAGTGTTTTAAACAATCCCCCTTCAACCAGGCATCACGAGACGCGTAACAGCTGCCATGCTAGTGGCTCCCCACCATGGCTATGGCGACCAGTGAGGAACCGCTGGCCCTGGTTTGCAGAAATCAGCGATTTGGGGAGACAAGATGCTTCATGACCCTCTTCTATTCAAAAAGTCATGTCTCTTTGGAGTACTGTGTCCAGTTCTGGGCACCCCAGTTCCAGAAGGACAGGGAACTGCTGGAGAGGGGACAGCAGAGGGCTATAAAGATGATTAAGGGCCTAGAACATCTCTCTGATGAGGAAAGGCTGAGGGACTTGGGTCTGTTCAGTCTGGAGAAGAGAAGGCTGAGGGGGGATCTGATCAACACCTATAAATACTTGAAGGGAGGGTGTCAGGAGGATGGGGCCAGTCTTTTTACAGTGGTGCCCAGGGACAGGACAAGAGGGAACGGGCACAAACTGGAACATAAGGAGATCCACCTAAACATGAGGAGGAACTTCTTCAGTTTGAGGGTGGCAGAGCCCTGGAAGAGTCTGCCCAGGGAGGTAGTGGAGTCTCCTTCTCTGGAGACATTCAAACCCACCTGGACACGTTCTTACGGGACCTGCTTTGGCAGGGGGTTGGACTGGATGATCTCCAGAGGTCCCTTTATCATCTTAGGCAGCCAAAATCAGAAGCCATTTTTGAAAATCACACCTTTGTGACTACCAGGCATTCAGGGGCCTGGTGGTCCCCAGGCTGTACCTGCCCCATCCCATCTCATGGGCACGGCTTTAAGGTCTCACCCTGAAGCTGGTCAGCAGCGGAGCTGTCACCGCTTCTACCCGGAGTTTCCCCTGAGGTCATACCTCTAGTTGGGTTAAATAACTGGTAGAGTGGCCTAAAAAACAGCTAAAGCAGCACTTGTGCTGTAAAACACTAACTGGGGAAGCGTTAGGGTGCCAGCTCCCACCGCCAAGAGCAGGAGGAATCACCTCCCCAGCGACAGCCTGCGTTGGAGCTTTGCCATCACCATGTCAGAGCCGCTACAGACCTGACCGCTCCTCTGCTGCCATTCTCAATGTTCTCAAAGAAAAAACTCTCCGGACACATTCTTTTAAGGCTGACTTCCAGGTTTTGGTATTTGGCTTTCTCAACCTCTCAGCATCTGAATTAAGGGCTAAAATGATGCGATTCTGACTTTTAGCAAGAACAGCCTCTGCTAGAAGTTCAATTTTGCGAGTGAGCGTGTGCAATGGAGATAATTTCCGGCACTAAGAGAGGCATCACGGCAAGCCTTGGCCAGGGAGGGGGGAAACTCAGATTCCAGTCAAGCAGCGTTGCTTGTCAGGAGAGGGAATGGAGATACCTGTTCTCTGGCACGTTTTTTGTGGCCACGAGACACCGACCACCAGAAACGCCCAGGTGAAAGCCAGCTCTGCCCTCCCCAAGAGCAGCAGAGACAGGCGCTGCTGCAGCGACCCGCCGGGCAGCGGGCAGGAAAGGGAAATTAAAGCTGACACACAATTAGAGTAAAGTGAGGCCGCAAGTGCTCCTGAAAGCCCGTGGAAAGCAAATGGAAATCAGGCAGAAGCTATTTCCAGGCAGAATTTGGGGCAGGGAGTGGGGGGGGGAAGGTGACAGAAGCAGAAATAAGCTTTTGCTAGGAACTACATCCAAACCCTCCCAAGAATCCAAATTTAGTGTTTAACACTTGTGCTCAGACGCACGAAGCCGCAGCCTGATTGCAGGAATGAAAGGGGGGAAAAAAAAATAATAGTCAGAAAAGGTTTCTTGCAATTAGCTTCTGATTGCAGGAATGAAAGGGGGGGAAAAAAAAAAAAATAGTCAGAAAAGGTTTCTTGCAATTAGCTTAAACCTAAGGAGCTTTGCCTGATTTCCAGCACGGGGAGCACTCTGGAATCTTAATGGAGTTACAGACAGGCAGAGGGGGCTCAGCACCTTGGGAGAAATCAGCCCCCTTCTCTTTTGTGGATGACGCTGCCTCATCTCGTTAAGGTTGGCACTTGTCTTGCGTGCAGCCGACAGCGGAAACCAGCGGATGTTACACTCCTTCATGGTGATGAGGCAGCGAGAGGGAAAAATAAGTGGAGGAGAGGAGGGAGCAGGGATTCCGGGATCTCAGCCCGTTGGGAGCCGCTGGGTGTATTCCCATCCCTGCTGCGGGGGATGCTCCGCTGGCTGCCTCCTCCAGCGTGGAGAAACCCTGCCAGGGAATAAAGGGAAGGTGAACACAGGGGCACAAACTGCTGCATCACAGAGGTTGACAGAGCAGAAGGTGCAGGGAGGGGATGGAACAGACCAACCGGTCCCACTGCGTTCAGAGGCAAACAAAGCAGCCACGTACGCAGCGAGGCAGGTCCCCCCTTCCCTCCTCTCTATCAGGAGGCAGGAAGAGGTCCCTTTTTATAATCTCAGTGCAGGGGCAGGGTTTCTGGTTGCCACCGAGGCTACTCCTGCCCCATCCAGATCATCTGGCAAAACAAAACCACGTCCAGCCTTCCTCCTGGTCGATCTGTTGACAGAGCCTACAACTTTATTTTTCCCAGTGGTTTTCACCTCAAAGGATCTTCACGTAAAGCAGTGACAGCACCTGCCCCTGACGTGCTGCCTCCTTGCTGGAAGGAACCTTCCGGCTGCAAAGCTCCCCCAGCAGCAGGTCAGCCCAGGACACGAGGAGGAACCCTTTAATTACTGCCAGAGCGGACCGTCAGCCTCTGAGGGACATTTCTCTCATGGCTCCAGCCAGCCCTCTGCTCGCCTCCCCCACCTGCAGCCAGCACAGCCTGTTTATCACATTATGGCCAGCAATTCTGGCTCTAACCAAGGCCCCCGGGACCAGCTCCAGCGCGTTTGCAGCTAATTCTGCACCAAGGGTCACCGCTTCCCACTGAAAAGCCACAGGAAAGTCCATGGATGGGTCACTCGGTAAATGTGAGGGTTAAATGCTCTCCATTCAGTAAATTCCATGAGCGCTCTCATCCAGCCCTTTACGCCGGCACCGCAGAGGGACACTCACCTAGAAGAGTTTCTCGTAGCACTTGTCGCAGTGGACAATGTCCCGGTGGATGAATATTTTATCCAGAAGATCTCCCATCGCTTTGTGGCAAATTCCACACTGCCCAAGGGAAAAGAAGGTGGTTGTTGGACAGTAACCATTGTTGGACTGTAACCATTGTTGGACAGTAACCAAAGCAGCGGGCAGGAGGGGGCCGGGAAAGCAACAGTCCCAGTGTCATTTCATACAGGTGGGAGGGTGCCAAAGCAGTGACCTTTGAGGCCAAACGTTCCTCCAACAGACCGACACCACCCCCGGCTTCCTCCACCCGCACTCTCCATTTCCACAGAGTTGGAAACTTTGCAAAGTTTGAGAGATTCAGCAAGACCTGTGCTGGGCACAAAGGCCACAGAGCAGCCCGTCTACCACAAGGACAGGGACACAAGGACAGTGACACTGCAATTCTCTCAGGTGACAGAAAAGAATTCTCCTTCTTGTTATGTACATTTGAGGAGCTGAAAAACTTTTGGGGATGAAGCCAACACCTGCTGACTGCGTGAGTTTTTGGTGTTGGTCCCAAGGTGGATGCAAGCATTTGGCAGACACTGTGTACATCACTCTGAATGTCTGAGGACAGAATTTGCACCGAGATTCCTCCTCCCACCACTCCATTTCCCAGCAGCACACAGAAGGCAGGCGGCAGTTAAGGATTTTTTTACCCTGAAGCAGTATTCGTGGCAGCAGATGTTAAGATGCTCTATTATGATCTTGGGGCAGTCTCGGATCTCGCGGCTGCAGTAAGTGCAAACAGGTTCGCTGGGCCTGAGAGGGAAGAGGAGAGTGAATTCATCTGTCACACAAGCTGGTTCCAGTCCCAGCGCTGGCTCCGGAGGTCTCTTACCTCACACCAGCACTGCTCTGTACCAGGCACCTGCTTCTACATGGGCTACGAAGGGCTACAAAGATGGTGAGGGGCCTGGAGCATCTCCCTTACGAGGAGAGGCTGAGGGACTTGGGTCTGTTTAGTCTGGAGAAGAGAAGGCTGAGGGGGGATCTGATCAACACCTATAAATACTGAAAGGGTGGGTGTCAGGAGGATGGGGCCAGTCTTTTTTCAGTGGTGCCCAGGGACAGGACAAGAGGGAATGGGCACAAACTTGAATGTAAGAAGTTCCACCTAAACATGAGGAGGAACTTCTTCATTTTGAGAGTGGCAGAGCCCTGGCAGAGGCTGCCCAGGGAGGTGGTGGAGTCTCCTTCTCTGGAGACATTCAAACCCACCTGGACACGTTCCTGTGGGACCTGCTCTGGGTGGACCTGCTCTGGCAGGGGGTTGGACTGGATGATCTCCAGAGGTCCCTTCCAACCCCACAGCATTCTGTGATTCTGCATGTGACTGTGTCTGGTGACAGCACAGAGGGACACGTGTACCCCCAGGGGTGCAGAGACCACAGCAGCGGGGCAGTGCAGACCTTTAAGTGACCGTCACTGTATTTTTCAAAGACCATTTACACTTTGTGCCGTTATTTCACCAAACACACACCAATATTCCAGAAAAGCAAAACCTTAAAAGTCATTTCTGTGTAAGAGTTTGCTGAACCCCCCTGGGGCAACCCCCTGATGCTCTCCTACCTCTGCAGGGGAGCGCTGGACAGGTAGCTGTGGTGGCCGTAGGTCGCTCTCTCCAAATCAGTCAAATCCACAAGGCTGCCACTGGAGACAGAAGGGAAATCTCAGCACTTGGCAGCGTTGCCAATGCCCAGCGGAGCCTGACAGGGCCAAATATGCAGCCTGAGAACTGCAGGGCAGTGGTTTCATCCCGTCACTTATTTTAGAGGCCAACTCGCTTGGAGGGGAAGCTTTCCCCTTCCTGGCTGTGGGACAGAAGTCCTCCTGTCACCACGAGGGGACCAGACGGCCCAGTGGACAGCAGAGAGATCCCTCTGCATCCCCAGAGCAGCACAGGGGTCTAAGCAAAACTCTGTGCCCAGCCCATGCAATAACCCCTCCAGGACTAATTAGCTGAGGCACGATGCCAGGCTGATGCAGCACTAGCTCGGGAGCATGCTCAGTGCGTGCTGCTTCGCACACGTATGTAGACACATGAGCGTGTCTCTGGACACGCCTCATACCTGCCATAGCGTGGGGAGGCCGACACCTCACTGCTGTTCAGGTACTCCTTCACAAAGAGGACCCCTTTTCTGGGAAAGGAGAACAGAGGGAGAAGCATTTGCATTAGCAAAGGCTGGGGCTGGTGCCGGGGGCCACATGTGTGTGCTGGGCCCCGTAACGCGCCCGGGAAAGGGCACGGAGTGAGATGCCGCCGTTGTTCCTGAATAAACACCAAATATCAAGCATTGTTGCTAAATAACACCCCAAATACCCCTCTAATTAACCCACCGAAACAAATCGAGTTAATTAGAAAGAATGGGATGGATAATACAACTCTTTCAGCCAGTTATCCCCTGTTTTGCCAGGATAAGTCTTTTCTCAAATCGTGTCAGGATTAGGCACACAATAAGCATTTAGAGCTGGTGGTTCCGCCCGTCGCCGTTAAAGCCCCGCTGGCACCGCACCACACAGGGCACCGCTTCCTCCCTGGACTATCTCCAGCGTTCTCCTCCATTATAAATCACTACTGGTTTTGCCTCCAGAGCTGACCCTTCTCCCATATTCCTCCCTCTTTAAAATCCTGATTTCCCAGGAAATCTGTCCATCCCTCCGCAGCGCTGTGGCAGAGCGAGGGCAGAGGCTGTGCCACCGGCTCTCCCCGCAGCCATGACATGAACTAATCAGCTCTTTCTCCACGGTGCATTTTCGCTGCTGCCTGTGAGCTAGGATTAATCCTCTCTTCTTACATGAGCAAAATAAGCCGTGTCACAGCTAAGGAAAGAAAATAAGAGCTTTTTTTTTTTTCCTTTTTAACTTAGCATAGACACTGCCCATGTCAGGTGCTCCAGAGGAGAGTCTCCTCCTCAGACAGGCTGCAGCCAGGCCAGGAGGACCCAGATATCACCCACCAAAACCTACACTGAACCTCTCAGCACTCCGAAACCCCTGTCCCTCTAAGTGGTGTGAAACTGCAGCCGTTTTCACCTCGGAGGAGGAGCCTGGGGGAACCACAAACCCCAGAACACGGCCCCGAGTTGGCAGCTGCACCGTGACGGGACGCTATTTTCTGTATGACATGAGATCAGGGCCCTGTGCCAGCCCCACCGACACCCCATGGACTTGCTGTGGGCTCCTCGCTTGCTCATGAGTGATGACAAGGCAAAGAGCCTGCCAAGAGCCCCACACGTGTGATGAGTGTGTACGGTGTGAGGAGCTCCAGCGTGTTAGGGAGGATTTGTGGGTTTGCCAGGCTCAAGAGAAAAGACCCAGCTCATACACTGCGCTGTGTCCTGGGCTCTAAAAAGGGGCTGCTGGAGAAAAGCACCCAGCCCATCTCTCCCTTTTGGGTGCCTCTGGCCACAGTCCCTGTGCTGGTGGCCAGAAGTGGCTGAGAAGTGTCTGGTGGCCCAGAGACCAAGCAGCAAAGCCTGGTTTGTCTCCACCAAACAGGATGGGTGGGTGCAAAACCTGGATTGCAGGGGGAGGACCGGGACCACCCATTGCTCTTTACCCGGCAGCGCTGGCGTCGGGCTGGTAGCCAGAGGTGGCCATCGGGCTGCAGAGCCTCTCGTTTGAACTTGAGAGAAGCCTGGTGAGAGAGAGAGAGAGAAAAGTCTGGGGTCACTGGAAACACGAGCCATGAGCCAAACTGGTGGCCAAGAAAAGACCTACCACTGCTGTTGGGAGGGTGCAATATTAAGGCCCTTAACCTTACAGATTAATCTTTATCACAGGCCAAAAAGGCTCCTTTCTCTTTTTATATCTGACAAGTAACAGCACTACAGTGATTTGGAAAAGTCTCATTTATAGGGCCATGGGAGAAAAGGTCAAATAAGATCTTCAGTTAAGCACAGATGATAAGTGAATCCTGCAGCAATGGAGAGAAACAGCAGAGAGCAGGAGAGGAGGACAGGGGGATGGACTGACCAAGTCCAACATAACTGTCCCCAACTTGACAATTTCAAAAGCTGCAGGAGGGAGAAGGAGGCAAAACTATGGCTATTAAAATGTCCTCAGAACACAGCTCTGGCTCTTCCTTCAGCAGGGAGGCCTGGCAGGGATGAAGCTAATCCTGCCCAGAGCTTGTGCCTCCTGCTCACACCCCCAGCACACTCCCCTTTACAGACCCAGCACTCAGAGCTGTGCTGGTGTCTCCATAGAGTGTCAGAGCACGAGTGGACGGGCTGACACTGCCATGGAGGGCTGCAGAGATCCCAGGGTAATGGTATCCCTGATCCGACACCTCCTACCCCTTCCACCAGCCTTGTTCTGCAACCAGGTCAGTCCCTTAATCATTGACATTCTGGAGACAGCGATCCTTTCTCTTGACATCTCTCTTTGCTTTTAGCTCTTTTTGTCTGCAGCCTCTGCAAAGGCTGATCTCTGGTCAAGGGAGGGTAGCCAGGAACCAGCCCTTTGTTCTCCTGTCACTCTGTTCTGGCACCCACATGGTGAGAAATCCCCAGAGACGGATGTACGACAGGCCCTGTGCTGGGCAGCTTCTGCTAGGAATGGTTTAAAAGTAATTCTGAGATGTATGACATCCTGTGCTGGGGAGTTTCTGCTAGGAATGGTTTAAAAGTAATTCTGTGCCTCCAGATCACACATCCACGCCTTGGAAACCATTTGTCTCTCCCTCAGCTCTTGGCTTTGCTTCCCAGCTTCTCTTCCACCGCAGTTTCGTGGGGGTTTCCCTCAAAACCCTCAGGACTCCCCATTTACCTGGTGCTGCTATAGTTTAAGCTGTCCATGTAGAATGGCACCCTGTGGCTTCTCTGGGAAATGGACATGGTGGGATCTCTGGGAAGGGAGTCGTGGCTACGAAAGGAAGTGATACAATCTCAAGCACTGAACTTGAGCACGTGAGGGATGAGAATCTTGGCTACATGTCTCCCTGCTCAGCATCAGAGTCACCCTCGCACCACAGCCATCCACGCAAACAGCACCTCTCTGCGCAGGGAATTAGTCAGAGGTGGGTGAGGACACCCCAGATACAGAATAAAGGCAGGTGTGGGGTGTTCTGTGGGTTCACCAGGCTGGATTCCCTCTGACTTCTTACCGTCCGGCTGCGGGGCTGAATTCACAGTGTCCCCTGGCACTGGCACTGTCGTATCTGCTGCTCCTGGGGCTGCCTCTCCCCTCATAAACCCTCCCTTCGTAATCCGGGGTAGGTCTGGGGAGGAAGCACAGAGCCCTGGTTACCTTGGACCAGGAGTTTCCACATTGGCTAATTAAGATTTGGTCTCAGCAGCCACTATCGTGACGCGTTCTCCCTTTGCTCTGCCCGTTTCACCTCTGCTGAGGCCAGGGAAGCAGTCTCAAAACCTAATGCTCAAGAGAGAACCCGAAGCATTCCACAAATGGATATATCTTCAATATTTGTTCCTTTCCCAAAGCTCCCCAAAACCACCACTGCACCATCTGTGTGTGTGAGCCGCTGACCAGCCGGCCCATCTGGGCCTCACACCCCCACGTTTTCCCTTTTCCACCACAAAACCCGTTCTGGGGATGGCTTTAACCTGCGGGCAGAGCTCAGGCTCTTTCCAGAGAGAAAATGAGCTTACAGCTCACAGTCCTTCTTTCCTTGCGAGTGCCTCGGGGCACAGATTATGTTTATATTGTATATCAGCACTTTGATCCCGATTAAAGCTTTGGGCAACGGGATAACTTCATGTTAAACAAGGCTGAAAACCACTGCCAATCAGCACGGCATTAAAGAGGGAAGGAGGGACAGGCTGAGCTCGTGGCAAGATGAGAAAACCCCTGCTGCGGGTGAGACGTGTGTCTGGTCTGTGATATAAACCCCGGGGTGGGAGTGAAGTGGGAGTTTCTGGTGCTGCAGAGACACGTCAGCATCGCCCGGCGTCGGGGGGTGACAACAGGCTGGGAAGTACAATAAAGGGCTGTCCCATTTTTCCTGCTCCTGGCCTGAAAATGCCTCCAGAAGCCAACGAGAGCTTCGTGACGCCAACTGTCTGAAAAGTGCTGGAAGAGGTGAAGGCTACGTTCAGATCCCGTGACTGTAGATCTATGTACATACACAGGAGTTGGAAGGGTACAACTTGTCTCTTATGGCCTTGAGGGGCATAAGAAAGGACCAGAAAGGACCAGGCTGGTCCTGAATCGTCATCTCCGCAGTTACAGAGCAGCAGATGTGGGCTCTGCACCTCTGTCTGGTTTCCAGGCACCGTGTAGGTGGTCTGAATACAACCTGCCAAGGACTCCGATCTCCCAAATCCCTTTTCCAGCCTTTCAGGTCCCAAAAATTATCCTGTTCCATGCTTTGTGAGACCTGGCAATGTCACTGCTCCCTCTGGGGACAAAACCCTGTTTTCCCTTCTTGTTCAACCCGGACCAGTGTTTCTACCAAAGGTTTCAGTGCCAGCAGCTCTCCCTGTCTCCGTGTCCCCTCCCCAAAACCTTACCTCCGGGTGCCGAAGGCCTGGCTGTCCACGTAGGAGGGGATCCTGTGGCTGGGCCCCGACAGCCCCAAAGGCTGGCGCTCCGGGTACAGCGGCGTGGGGTGCTGCATCTCATAGGCACCCAGAGCACCCTCTCTTGAGCTGAAGTTCGACCTGGTAGAGAATTAGAGCCAGTTGGACCAAAAAGCCAATGACTGTGTATTCCGTATTCCGAATTTGCCAAGATCACGCCTCTTTCTACTGGCAATGAGGGACACCATGCTCTTAACAGGTTCTTAAGGCCAGGGGGAGTGGCAGAGGTCTGTGCTGCTTCCCCTCACCTCATGCTGCAGGATTCAGCAGTCACCTAAGTTAATTTGAGAACTGAAATGAAACATCATCAACCATTTATGGGTGGAATCCTAAACCTACTATTCCTTTTACCGGTATCGTTTGATTAGAGCACACTGGGCAAATTTACATCATAATTTGATAACTGAAATGAAACATCAACAAGCATTTATGGGTGGAATCCTAAACCTACTGTTCCTTTTACCAGTATCGTTTGGTTAGAGCACACTGGGCAAATTTACATCAGACTGTAGCCCCGTTTGGGTCAAGAAGCAGGAATGGGAAAGGCTGAGGACTGGAGAGCCATCTGTGGGGGATGCAGAGGGCCATCCCACCATACCTGGCTGCCACTGGGTTAGGCTCATTGTGTCTCCAGTCTCCTGGGCTCTCATGGTGACCGTCTGTGGTGGGGCAGGTTTGTCCTTCATAAGCTGGAGTGCTCCTGGTCAGGGAGAAAAAAGCCTGTCAGCAGCTTTAGCACTTGTGCCTAAACCCCTCCACTGCGGTGAATAAACGCACCAATACCATGATTGTCTTGGTTTCTGAATTTCGTAGCCAAGAAATGGACATTGCCCTTTGAACAGGGAGTGGGGAGAACACGAGAGGTGTGAGACAGCAGGAGAAAGTCCCCTGGCTCCATACCTTTCCCAGGACAGGTCACCTTCACGTGCACGTTGGGTGTCTGGAGCAGGGATGCTGCTTTCTCTGGGCAGAGAGCTGGACCTGCCAGGGCAGAAGACCATTACAGTCACAGGCTGTGCCCACAATGACTGTAGGATGGAGTTACAACCCCTGGTGAAACTCCTGCCTCAAGGAAAGTGCAATATCCCTGGGTGGGAATGTGCCAGATAATCCAAAGAGAGGTGGAAAAAAATACTAGATGGAAAATATCAAATCTCTTCAAAAATAACACTGAGAGCAAAGAAAAAGAAAGCTCCTGGTGAGCATCGGTGACCTGTTTACCTCTTTCCAGACTTGACACTGTATCTCTGGTCATTTAGTTATGACCATTTTGAGTTATCCAGTACCTCCACGTTACATTTCAGACTCGGAGCAGGAGCTGCCCTCCCCTGGGGACCATCTCAGGAGCGTATGCACCAGATAAACCCACTGCAGACCCCCCTTGATTTACACCCAGGGAAAAGTTTGTTCATTTTTTCTACTCAGTTTTGTGTGCTTGCACACACCAGCCCCTCTGGGGATACCTGCACCCTGTAGAAGATCCGAAACTGACCGGGATTCCGGCATCAAAATTGCATTTAATTAGACTCCTAAGAAATTAATTCTCAAAGTGCTTTCAGAGATCCTACCCTGAAGCATTAAGGCTGACGGAAGAGGAGGCAGCCCTGACACTTCCCTTGCTGCTGGTTGAGGGCTTCCCCTGGCCAGCACCAGTTCGATCCCTGCAAGTTCACTGTGGGGACGAGCCAGACACCGATTGGTGCAGTCACCCACGAGAGAACAAGATCAATTTGTTTTGCTTCCTTTGGCACAAAGGCAGGCACCTTAAATTCTTCCTTCTGGCGAAACACTCGTGGTCACTGAGCTACAGATTCCCCCTCAGGCTGGGATGTTCTAAGTGCCTGAAGTCGAGGTGTTTGTCCAGGAGCCCAGACTCAAAATGGATTTACTGAAAAGCATCACAGAGAACTCCTGGGTCCTTCAGGAGAGCGATGCTGCAGGAGGACTCCTGACTGCTCCCTTGTCTGAGCCAAAGTCACTGTGCCTGGAAGCACCAGAGACCCTCAGATGAGGACTCTGTGTTTCTGAGGGCTCATCTGAAAGGAATCTGTGGCCTGGGGAGGGATGGAGTGTGCAACGGATGGAGTTTTGTCCATCTTGGCCACTTTGCTGGGGGGTACTGGAGAGAAAGGAGAAGTTTTCTTCTCTCTGTAACTTTTTTCTTCAGCAGTTTGACTTCTACTCGCACCCCTGGGGACTGGGAACAGCTCCTTCTGCCTCCCTGCGTGATGAAGAGCTACAGTTTGGAGTATCTGTGGTACATCCAGGGTAGCTCTGTTCTTCAGAAGAACAGGAGAGTGACACCACTGCTCTCTCCCTGCTGCTCTTCCCGTGCCCTTTCCTGAGCTCCCCCCTCCGTGGTCCTCACCGACCCCATGTTCTGCTGTCCCACCACTCGTGGTGTATCTCCTGAAGAAAGCCCAGAGTGGTGACTCCTAACCCCACACACAGCATCCCCAGTCCCTTCTCCAGAACTACCTGCAGTAAATTCCCTGTTTTTTCAGCAGAAAAAGCAAACCTGTTATTTCTCTTACCTTCCTGAGGTGATATCTTCACTTTGCACAGAGGGCAATATCCCCTTGTCCATGTCCATGCTCCCACTAGAGCTGTCCTTGGAGTGTAGCGTGGACCTGCAGGAGAAGAAGTCTGGTTTACAAGTTGATTTGAAGATGGGTTCCTCACCGAAACACATGAATGAGGAAGCCCAATTTGGCCAAGAGCCTCAACTCTCCAAATTTTGAGGCAAAATACAGACAAAAGCAAAGAAATCAGCCTGCAAATCCATTTGGATTTCCAACCTTCCTTCCGTTTGGACCCTTGGCCCTGCGCTGAAGGCACCAGGACAGCCACCACCAACCCACATCAGTGGGAAAGGAAATGGTCCCATGCTGGGGTGACCAGAGTCCAGCCTGGGACCTGACACTGGGGGACCAGAGTCCAGCCTGGGACCTGACACTGGCTGGGTAAGCTCAGAAATGAGACCCCGTGTTACCACGGGGGTGTTACCCCACCCCAGATTAGGTTGCTATTTGGCATTTGTCTCTAGGTAAGTCTCTGCTTCCAGATTTAAGGTCCAGGCAGCAACTAGGTGGTCCATCTGGACAGGGTTTGATGCCTCCAGCTCATTGGGATGTTTTCTCCCAGGCTTTCATATATAACCATGGTAGAAGGTTCACTCAGTAGAAGCAGCACTAGAATCAGGCACAAAAGGGGAACCTGGGAGAAGATCTTCTTTATGTGGGGGAAGATGCACAAGGAATTAACCCTCATCCAACCAGAAAAGGGGTGTGTGTGTGGGAATTATCCTTGCCTGGTCATGCTGGGTTCACGTTCAGTATATTCCTTTGACCTGGGGGGCTCTGGGTGGACATCGTGGTCTGGGGGTTCTTGTCCCTTCTCAGTATGGTCAGTTGAGTCCAAAAACCTAAAATAAAGATCTGTACTGAAGGCAGTGGACAAAAACCACGCTGGGGTGGGTGGACATCCCTTCCCTAGAGAGCAGCCATCAGGCAGGGAGCAGGAGAGACCGTTTGGGCAGAGCTAAAGGCCTCTCACCCAAGATCTGTCACAGAAGGAAACCTCTAGGCACAGGAGAAAGCTCTTGTGTCAGAACTCCTCGGCCTGACAGATGCTTTTAACACCTCAGGACACGGTCACACGTGATTTTGCAGCATTCATAAATGCTTGGATGGTACTGGCTGAGAGCCCTGGGCAGCAGAAGGCACTGCCTGGCACTGGAGTGCCACAGGAACCACGCGGATGCCAAGGGACTCCTGTCACACCCTGTCACTGCAGAAACTGCCTCTCGGACGTCACACTCACCCCTCTTGGACCAGCTCTGGTTTAGAGTCCTCCAAGGCCCTTGTGCTCTCATGCCCCCTTTCTCCAGGGGTGTTCCCCTCTTGGAAATCTTGGGAAGACCTGGCAAAGGAAGAGAGGGGGGAGGCTCTGGTGGAGGATACTCCAAGAGGAAGCACCGACTTCAGCGCAGCACAAAGCACCGCTCCATTCACTGGGTCAAACTTCACAAAGCACAAAGCACCGCTCCATTCACTGGGTCAAGCAGCAGCATTTTGACTGAAATCAGCTCTTGGGACAGGAGCTGTGAGAAGCAGCCTCTTCCTGTGCCTGCCCATTCAGGTTTCCCTTAAGTCTCAGTATTACTCACACACCCACTAAATTTGCCCTGCTCTTACCTTTTAAAGGAATATTCTGTGTCCTCCAGGCGCACGGGGGCTCTCTCGGGAGGAGGCAAAGGGACATCAGACTGCACATTAGACCTGTCAAGAAAAAGGAAGGAATCTCCAGGTTGGTAGCTGGCCAAAGGCCTCGGGGGGGACTAGTTTGAAAAAACAACACTGCACGTTATATGAGAGCATAAAACAGAAAGCAATTTTCCTCAGAGAACTGATTTTCCTTCAGAAAACCACATTTTCTCTCTCTCTAATCAAGAAGAGCAGAGGCTGGTAGTGGAGGTAATGCAGTTACTTGGCCTCGTGGCTGGGTATGATCCTTTTCTGGCCTGTCACGGGGTCACACACCTGGGACAAAGTACAATGGGAATAACTTTGGGGAAGACGTTCCTACATGACCAGCAGCAGCTCTAGGTCCTGGGAGTTCCACCACCCTACTGGGAGCCTTGTGAACCTCCTCACCTCAGCCAGGAGGTTTGAAGACATCATTTGCTCACCTCAAGCCCTTTGGTTAAACTAATAATGGAGTCAAGTCCCAAAACAATGGGCTGAAGTAAGTGAAAAAAAGCAGCTTCAGGGAGATCAGTGTGTTTGCTGTCAACAGCAGCAACTCCTTCCTGCCTCCGCCTCTGACACTGTCAGGGGAAGAAGCGTGGTTTCCTTCCTCTGACACTGTCAGGGGAAGAAGCGTGGTCTGAAAAGCAGGTGGGATGGAGACACTTTTGAGATCAATGCCAAAGGCAACAATAAAGCTGCCGGATCTGCTCCCAGGTGGCTTCCACAGAAAGAAGTCGATCTGTTAACGGCGAACAGAAAGATGCTGTTCCTGTTCAGCTGCTGGGGTTCTTCTGGCTCCCCTTTGTTACCCAATTTGGATTGTGCTTCCAGCTCTTACTCTGGGGGAGTTACTGCTTCTCCCCCCACCTCTGCCCTCCACTACCAACGCTGCGAGGACCAGCACCAGGCCCTGACCTTGTGGGTTCTGACGTGGCACCATCCAGGAGGGAGGTCTCGTACCGACGGTGCAGCTTGTCCGTAGCATCCGCAGCTCGGTCCCTGCTGCTGGAGCTGGACCTGGTAAGACAGGGAGATCCGTGGGTCACAGAAGGAAGCTTGGCAGGTTGAAAAACAGAGCAAGAAGAAAAAATATCTAATATGAGATTTTCTGTCTCAAACATAACATCTTTTCCTCTTTCCTGCAGCAGACCTGGGGGGCAGAGACATAAATCCAACCAATTCACACCAGTGCAAGGAAGGAAGCTGAAAGATCTCAACCTCTTGAGCTAGTGAACCCCCTTTTGCAAGAACACATTCATTAGGGCAGTCCTGAGTCAGGAAAAGACCCCTCTTGCTCTAAAATCAAGAGGAAAAAGGGAGCTTTACACTGTTAATAGGTTTACACTTACTTTGGTGAGTAAAAACCGTTGTTGGTTTCTGTGCATTCAGGATAACTGGAAAAGGAGAGAACCCAACTTTAGGAAGCATCTTTGGTTTGGTTTGAGTAACATTCTACAATTATTTTCTTCTGCATTTAATAAAAAAGGGAGGAGAAAATCCCTAAAACTTCCCAGAGGTGTTCCTCAGGTTATTTCTACAGGTAAAATGGCAAGAAACTTTGGGGGAACTCAGTGGGTATGAAGTAGAAAAGAGCATTTAGTAACTGTGAACCTCACGGCCACAGGACGGATGCCAATGGCATGGAGTCATCTGGAAATTCAAGCCAGGACTCTTCCAAACAGAGCTGGGACACAGGCACCTCCTGTCAGGCACTCTGCAGGACGTGCAGTTTCCTTCTGGGTTTGGGTTTTGGGTTGGATTTTGTGGGGTTTTTTTAGGGGGTCAGTTGTTACAAAAGTAAGTAGGTAGGTGGAGGCCTAGAGATACATTGAGTGTGAACCTCTCTATACTGTAAAAAAAATAATACAATTACATTCCAGAATTGGGTTTCAGTTGGGAATAAACCTGGAAAATGATCTACAAAAGTGATTTTTTTTCTATCATATAAGCTAAAGAAAAAAAAAACCTGGAATAAAACATCAAACAATTTTATTGGAGAGGGTGGTGCTTTCTTTTTCCCCCTCTTCTTAAATAAAATTTTAGAGAAACGGCCACAGTTCTGCAAAGCACAGATGGAGCTGTGTTTTTCCACCCGGTCGATAAATACATTTCTGACTGACTCTACCTTCCGCTCGCAGACCCCGCGGTCGCTCTGGGGGCCAGGTCCTCCCAGGGGAAGGGCTCAGACCTTTCCTTCAGAGGTTTGTCGCTGGAAAAAGGAAAATGCCAGTGAGATACAACCTGAGAGCACTTATCTCGTGTCACCCCAGAAGAGTCTGCTGACATTCAGTTTGGAGGAGCAGGAAAAAGGGCTAAATCAGTGTCTGGGGACAGGAAGGGCCAACCTTCTCCTAGAATCATAGAATGGTTTGAGTTGGAAGGGACCTTAAACATCACCTTCACTGATGGAGGTGGAGAGTGTGTTATAATTAACTGTGTATGCTACAGAAGCTCCTCTGGTGAATTCAAACCTTCTACAGGTGCTTAAGGACAACAGAACCATGCCTTTAGGTTCCAAATCACTTCCTTTTTTCTTAGGTTTTCCTCCATACAAGAGAGCTTTTTACACCTTCCCGTTGTTCAGCCACCCCTTCTGACTTCCTGCAGGGAGCAGAGGACCAGAGCCAACGGCAGAAGGAGCCACCACCAACTGAGGTTCAACACATCCCATCCAGATGAAAGAAGCTCCCCAGGGAATGGCCGTGAGAGGGCAAGCGGAGTAGGAAAAACAGAAATAAAAATGCATGAAGTAGAGTCTAGGGACTGAGCCAAAGAGGAGAATCCTTGAGGGAGGAGAAGGAAGAGCAGAGAGGAACGACAAGTTGCAGCCAAGCCAGTGGCTGGTGCTCTTGGAGAGCAGCCCAGGACCACGATGGGGGAGGTCCCCATCTGTGTGAGACCCAGAGCAGGTAGATGTTATTTCTGAGCAGTGGGCAGGAGGAGGCCTGATGTTCAGCAGCACAGATCAGCACTTCTCAGCTTCTCACCCGTCCCCGTGCCGGGACACGCTTTCAGAGGAGGATGTCCCGTCAGCGGCCGGTCTGCTCTCCCCATTTCTGCAACAAACCAGCAGGAGGGATTAGGTGGGGGGACGAGGGGGCACAGCACGAGGCACAGGAACCATGTGGCAGGGTGTTTGCTGGACGTGCACTGTGTACGCTGGGGGATTGGTTTGAAATGAAAGTCTGATCAGTTGAGGGGATAGAAAAATCTGCAGTTTTTGGGCTCATATTTTCATCAGAAAGAACTGAGTAACGTTCAAGCAGTGGGAGGCCCACAGCTTCCATCTGGCTCTGCTTCCTCCCAGATCACTAACAGTTTTGCAAAGTGCTGCTTTCTTAGATTCCCTGCGCTATAGCATCTATGGATCCGTGATGGCACCGCGTCCAGGACAACCCTGTCTCTCTGGGAAAAGGCCCTCAGAGGAGCTCCAGGGTGATGCAGACCCAACAGACCTACCTGCTCTCAGCAGAAGAGGGGAATCCCACTGAAGTTTCACTCAAGGATGCGGTTGTTTGGCTTTTACTGCCTGTTTCAGGGCTGCGAGGGAAGGCAAAGGAAAAAAGCTGTGATTCCTGAACAAAACAGCCCTTCCCACAGAGTTTTCCCCCATTGAAGCCCTCCTTTCCATGAATAAATAAAACGGAAAACAAACATCACTGTTTTCAATACAGTCCAGCCCTTCCCGCTGCAGCGGGACAGAGTTTTCCCCCATTGAAGCCTTCCTTTCCGTGAATAAATAAAATGGAAAACAAACATCACTGTTTTCAATACAGTCACTTAGGAAGCTGTCTTATCAGAAGCAATTTTTAAATTAAAAACGTTGATATTGGCATGAATATCTACCTTCTGCCAGCAATACACCAAGAATAAAAATAACACAAGACCAGTAACCAAAAGGCTGTGGAAAATCATTTCAACATCTTTAGAGGGGAGATGGAGCTGAGCTGGGGGGAAGAACTTGTTTGGTGTGAGGGTGGTGAGAGCCTGGCCCAGGGTGCCCAGAGAAGCTGTGGCTGCCCCATCCCTGGAGGGGTTCAAGGGCAGGTTGGAGGGGGCTTGGAGCAACCTGGGCTGGTGGGAGGTGTCCCTGCCCAGGGCAGGGGGTGGCACTGGGGGGGCTTTAAGGTCCCTTCCAACCCAAACCAGTCTGTGATTCTATAATTGGATCCAACAGACAAAGTTGGAAGCAACTGAAAATTATTCCTCTACACTTATTTGGCGAGAAAGAATTCAGCACATCTGGGTTTTTTTCTTTCAGGTTTTGAGCACCTCTATCCAGATGTTGCCAGATCCTTGCAAGAGGTGACATGGATTTCAGACCTTTCCAGACCCACAGAACCTCCTTTTAAAACAGCTGCCTGCATCTAAGAAATGTCTCCTGAGTACAATGCTGAGACATTTGCTTCGTTTCACCTCCCAGAGGGTGTCCACAGAAGTCTCTGACACAGAGAAGTCTCTGACATGGAGAAGTCTCTGACCGAGTACAATGCTGAGACGTTTGCTTCATTTCACCTCCCAGAGAGTGTCCACAGAAGTCTCTGACATGGAGAAGTCTCTGACATGGAGAAGTCTCTGACAGCTCCACGTGGGCTGATAGAGCCACCACAGAAGCCCAAGATGTCCTGGCTGTGCCCTAGCGCTCACCTGGAGGGAGACACTCCTGTCATCTTTGCCTCATCCCAGGAGGACCCAGTAGAGGTTTTTCTTAGCCCATTAGTACTGATAAAAACAAGAAGTAACAAAGAAAGACAGATTTTTAGGTGCTTTCTCCTCTGGGGGGATCCAGGAGGACCCAGCAGAGGTTTTTCTTACCCCATTAGTTCTGATAAAAACAACAAGTAACAAAGAATTAAAGACAGAAGATTTTTAGGTGCTTTCTCCTCTGGGGGGACACATCCAACTTGCTGCCCACAGCTCCTGGCTCTGCTTCCCAGGCAAGGACTCACACTCACACTTGTCCCCATGCACTGGTCACACTGATGTGACTCCTGTCTGCTTTTCTGCTGAAATACTCTGCCTTTTGAAACTATTTTTTTCCTATTTAACACAGCTGGAGCCGTTTCTATCCCCAGTGTCTGAGTTTGCACTAAAAATCACCTTCCCCAAAGGCAGAGATGAAAGCTCAGGCTGTTCCCAGGTCAATTTCAGCCTCTGTGTGTGTGTGTGATGTGTGAGGAGAGGGGGGAAACTGCTGCCCAGCCCTGCCTCAAAACTGGGACCAGTCTCTTTTCTATCCCCAGTGTCTGAGTTTGCACTAAAAATCACCTTCCCCAAAGGCAGAGATGAAAGCTCAGGCTGTTCCCAGGTCAATTTCAGCCTCTGTGTGTGTGTGTGATGTGTGAGGAGAGGGGGGAAACTGCTGCCCAGCCCTGCCTCAAAACTGGGACCAGTCTCTTTTCAATGGTGCCCAGGGACAGGACAAGAGGGAACGGGCACAAAGTGGAACATAAGAAGTTCCACCTAAACATGAGGAGGAACTTCTTCACTTTGAGAGTGGCAGAGCCCTGGAAGAGGCTGCCCAGGGAGGTGGTGGAGTCTCCTTCTCTGGAGACATTCAAACCCACCTGGACACGTTCCTGAGGGACCTGCTCTGGGTGGACCTGCTCTGGCAGGAGGTTGGACTGGGTGGTCTCCAGAGGTCCCTTCCAACCACATATTGTTCTGTGATTCTGTTTGTCGTTGGGAGAGGGGCTGGGCTTTACGCCCTACAGCTCACGTGAAGGGTGGCCTGTTGTTTAATACCCCCTCTCACCCTGTTGTTTAATATCCCCTGTCACCCTGTTGTTTAACACCCCCTGTCACCCTCCAGGGCTGTCAGTTGGGTACACGATGACCCAAAGTGCGCCCCAAAATCAGAGACACTCAACACCACCCTTGGAGGAGGTAAGTACCTGTTGTCACCTGGTGGAATCCTGCACGAACCAGACACAGTGGGACTCCTCCTCTGCTGTCCTTCCTCTTCTTCTATCTCAATTCTTTCAGAAGGCAAAAAGAGAGACAGATATCACTGTTTCCCACTCCCCACTGCGAGCTAATTCAGGCCATTTATTCTTGTTTTCCCTCAGGCCATGTTTCCCCTCCGTTTCCCCCAGAGGCAGATTTTTCCTGCTCCTCCCGCTCCCCGTGGATCTCCACCGGCTGCAGGATCTGAGATCTTCAGCCCAGATCAGAGGGGTTTTGCTGTCACAGTCACTTTACAAACTGCATCAGCTGAAAGCTTCAATGCTGGAGAGAGCATTTCCAGGCACGGCTTCCCCGTCACACTGGCTGCTTTAGAAGGTAAATGCCTGAAGAGTATGTTTCAGGTTCCCCATAACCCAAAGCATCATCAATATTCCGGGTGGTTACAACCCTGTGGACTCTCAAAAGCCAGCGGGGTTCAACCCAGAGCATCCCTTTAATAGAAATGTCCCTCCTTGGCTTCAAACCACCTGGGGATCTCCTGTCCCACCATCTAAGCACAGCCCTGGCAGTAACACAGACGCACAGCCCCGGCGGGGCTTCCAGAGGGCCAGTGACCTACCTCTTGGCGAACAAGGGTGGAAATTCTTGTGTTGGGCTGCTGCAAATGAAGCATAAAGGCAACAGTGAGAAGGCTGGAGGTCACGTCACACCATTGGGGCAGAGCTGGCAGTGACCGGGGGGGTTAAACCCGTGCAAATTACAGAGCAGAGGAAATAGAAATAGGAAGAGCAGCGAGTTATAACACAGAGAGTAAAAAAGCTTCCCCAAAGGGCCTTCTTCCCTTTATACCTTCCTGATGGTTTGTCTTCCTGCAGACAAACCCACCTCCCTCCAAACCCCAGGACACTCAGGGCACCAGAGGAACCAGCAGCCACTAAAACCACCCTGAATGTCCCTACAAATCCTGTCCCAGCATCTCCCCCATTCCGGGCACCGCCGAGTGCTGCCGGCGCCTCCCTCCCTGCTCCCTCCCACACAGGCAACCTCCCGGTGCCTCATTGTGTCACCCAGAGTTATGTCAAGAGGAAAAGGATTCCCAGTGAAAGCCAGCTGCAGAAAAAGTCACCATCGTGGCTCCTGGGAGATCAGAGACCTTGGAAATCTGCTCTTATTTCCCCTCCCAGGACAGAGATGGACAACAGAGCCTTGGACACCAGTAGCTCCCACACATCCTTCCCGTTCCAGTTACACATCCATATGTTACTGTGCGGTCCTTTTTCCCCACAGAACTAATTTGAAGCCACAATTAAGATCAGGATCTTGTAAATCTGGGTATTGTTCAAACACACTGTAAATCTCAGCCAGAAAAAGCTGATCCATATTGGATGCAGTTCATATTTGTTCTGATTTTTCCCACTGGAGAGAGCAGTATTAAAAACTGAGTCTGAAAATTGAAGTCTCGATTGCAGGCCCCAGGGAATTAGGGATTATCATGGTTTTTCACTTCCTCAAATTCCCTCCCACTGCATAGGGAAGATTTCCCAGCACTCCTGGAGGATTTTTTCCCCAATTCTGCAGAAACCTGCAGATATCCTTGGCACTTCTCGAGAGATGGCAGCTAAGTCTTCTCCGCTCACTGGAAAGGTAACCCACCACCTCCAGAGCACCTTGGGTCAGGCCACCATCCCCGTGAGACCACCTTCAGCAGGCCCTTCCCCATCTCCTGCCCCACACTTGGGCACTGAGACTCACCCGTTGCTCTTCTTGGCCGCTGAGAGGACGTAGGCACGTTCTCTGCTGGCAGTGCGTCTCAGGACACTGTTGGCTGCCTCTGTCCTGGAAGGGAGGAAGAGAGGGGGTCACATTTTGCTCGTGCCTTGAGAAGGCAAGAGGTGACCAACCCATGGAGGCTTGTGCTAACCCTGACAGAGCTCCTGTGCTCTGGGGAGCAGAAATCCAGCCAGAGCTACGAGGAGTAACATCCTCTTTCCCTTTAGCATCATTCATGCTGGGCCACAGTGCTTTCACGTGGATGATAAGCATCAGGCAACACAGAAAATCCTTCCTCTTCCAGGTGGGCAGAGGGAGTTTCCCTTTTCCAGACCCGGACTATTGCAATATTGAGTACCACGAGAGCAAGAAATGGGACACATCCTACAGGGACTGCATGGGTCTACCTGGACATCAGTACCCCCAGAGGTGGATGAGTGCAGGTCTCTGAAAGGACTGTGATTGGTTCATCCCCAGTGGGCAAACTACCAAGTTTTCATTTGTGAAAGTCTTATATCTGAGGAAAAGCATCTTCAGAAACTCAACTGAAAGCAAGCAGGCCGCTGGCTGCAGCAGAGGCAGATCTACCACATTCTGCTCCTGGTAGGAGAACGAGAGACCCCCCTGGATCTGGACTTTGGTGCGAGTCCCCAGGTGGCCCAGACCCAAAGAGACACACGTGGGCTGTGGGAGGTGGCTCCTCCCTCTGCTGCCGGGCCATTTGTACCTCTCTATCCTTTCACAGAGACACTACGCGGCTGATGGATTCCACAGCCCCTTTCCAGCTGCCAAATTAATTGGAGGATGCTGTCAGGTTGAATCATGTCAGGCTTTTAATTATATTTTGTTGGGAGCGCAGTCGCCTGTGGGTAGAGATGGGCTCTGGGTAGAAATATCTGCTTATTATGACTTTATTGCAGTCAGCCCTAATGGCTCGGCTGTAATCATCATCGAACTGACCCTCCCAGTAACGAGCAGTTAATCGGGGGTCAGTCCACTTGTCACCACCCCTGCAAGGACACGGTGGGTACCTGGAGGACATACCTCTTTTTATGTTCATCTGGAGTAAAAGGCACCTCCTCCTCGTCCAAGTCCACTGATTTCTGCTTGACGTTATAAGGAGCTCTGAAATCAAAAGGGAAAAGGAGAGCCAGGGTGAGGGAACGGCCTCTGCAGACAAAACCCAAGGCAAATCCAAGGGCAGGGGGTGTGGAAATGGGTCCAAACCCTTGGACTGTGGGAGACACTTGTATTTTTCATGCCCGTTGGGGTACACATGTCCCCACAGGATTTTCTTTTCTCAGTGCAGGGCTTCAGCCTAGAGGCTGGTTCATGATAAATGCTCGGCTGCATTTCAGATGAAAGCCACACTCTGTGACACGAAAGGCCATGGGGAATGGCAGCAGCGCCGTTCTGCCCCAAGGGTCCTCCTTTCTCCTGGTTTCAGAAAGGCCAGTGATGCTGCAAGCCAAGTCCCCAGGCTGCATCCTCCAGTTTCTGCCTTAATTACTGACAAGTGATAAAATTCACTCTGTACAAAGGCTGTCACCAGTTCAAGGGACAACTCATGGCCCACACAGGCACTGGGAACTGGTTTGGGTTTCCAGTGGAAGTTCTGTGGTGCCCAGATGATGAAGCCAGGCCTGGCCAGCCACCCGTGTTGGCTCGGTGGCTTCATCACCTGGCCAGTCACCCTCGGTGGCTTCATCACCATGACTCAAGGTGCCACCAAGCCCATGCCTGGGCAGAAAGTGCAGCTCCCCTTGGCACACTCACAGTTTCTTGTAGTCCTCGGTGGTCATCCTGTAGCCAGAGGAAGAACGGGACTGGCCGTGTCCCTTGGTGGCAGGGCTGTGGGTGGCACAAATCACATCCGTCAACACAACCCTCCTGGGCTCTCACCCTTCCCCGGGTGATGGGGGAAGACAGAGTGATCCCAAATTTCCACTTTCTGAATTCAGGGAATGCTCTTTTATCAAAGGGCAGCATTTGGTGCCTCTTCACAGCCCTGGACTAGGATTTGAGGTCCACTGTGCTTGCCCAGAGCTCTGCCAGTGTGAGCTGTCAGAGCAGGTATCAGCACACCCCTCTGTGGGACAGTACGGCTCCCTCCCGGGGCCAGGCAGGGAGAAGGAAGTTGTCAGAGCGGGTATCGGACACCCCTCTGTGGGACAGTACGGCTCCCTCCCGGGGCCAGGCAGGGAGAAGGAAGAAGACACTGTGTGGTATCATCCTTCTCCCCACATGAATCAAAACAGGGGGAAAAATGGGATTTCAGAAGGTTTGAATCAAGGTGCAGTGAAGCACCTGCTTGGATCAGAGCCGTGCTTAGATCTTACTAGAATTAAATGTAAATGCCTCTCGCAAGACAGGTTCCAAAAGAGCCCAGCAAACCCCGCACTAAAAACATCAGAATGAAGTGTTACAGCTTTGGGATTTGTGCCCCCCCCCCCCTCAAAACTATTTGCCAAATTAAACCCAAATCCCAAATTTCCCAGCCAACTGCCCTCCCGTGCTCTGGTGAGGAAAATGCAGAGTGTGAGGCCTTGTCTTGCCCCGTGTCTGCCGAGCGGAGCCCTCACACAAACAGCCACTTCTCCCAGCATTTGGGAGGGATTTAGCAGAGCTCGGTGGAAGCCCACAAGCACTGGCCAAAGTAAAAGCAAAACTAGAAATATAGACAATATTTAAAAGCTCATTTTCATGAAGAAGAGGAAGCCACACACCTACCTTTTTTGTGCTTCTTTAGAAGAGGAAGAGTCTGGCGTGGAAGGGGTCTTATCGATGGTTTTTGTGAACACCCCTCTGGGGAAAAAAGAGACATGGTAAGGTTTTTGCAGGACAGATTTTGGAACTGGAATGATGAGACCTGCAGCCCCTCTTTGGCCACACGGTGTCTGTGTGTCCTGGCAGGAGGAGGCTGCTGGCTCAGGACACAGAGAATTAGAAGATGCTTCCTCGGGGGAGTCATCCTGAGAAAAGTCTCAACTTCCTCCTCCCTGGTCTTGGACACCCCAGTAAAACCCAGGGGCGTGGGTAGGGAATCACTGGTGGGTTATGGTGGCATCGGAGTCTCCGTGGGCAACAGCCCAGGTGTCAGAGGGAGCTGAAGGACACGAGTCCCACCACTGGTGCTGTGATCATCACAGGGATGGTAGAGCATTTTCACAGCACGGTAACCCCTCCACTGTGTCACACAGAGGGATCTGATTTTGTTATCATCACCATCAAACTACTTGTTAAACAAAATATTCAAGACTCTCTTCACCAAGGTACTCCCTGAGCGTTGTCATGTTCCCAACTCGTAGGAGAACCCAAGAGATAGTCATATTTTTCACACTTGTTTGAGTGTGAACAAGTTTCATAGAAGTTCAAGGAGAACTTGATCGAGTTCTCCTTCCCTTACAGCCCAAATCCACGCCACTCCGTACCAACCTGATGAGGTAACCGGGCTGAGGCTTGGAGACAGGAGACCTGGGAAAAGAACAGACATTAGAGAATTAAGAAACATGGGGGAAAACACCAGCAGCAGCACCAGCATTAAAGGGAAACGTCCACCTGGCTGTCAAGCCAAAAATCTAGCTAAATGGGCCGGGAGTCATACCTCAGCTGCTGCACCAAAATTAACCCTGGAAGGATTATTTTAAAAATGAATAATCCTCAGAGCAAGCTCTAGAAAAGGTATTTTTAGAAGAAAAGCGAATTTTAAAAATAGCCAATTAAAATCAGCCACGCTGACAGGGATTGCTGGCTCAAAATAAGTCCACAGATTGGTGGCACAGAGGGGGGAGGCAGACGTGGCAGAGATCCTGGTTGTTTTATCGCAGGCAAACACCATCTTCACACTCACTTCTCTGAGGGCCCCTGCTGAGGAAGGGAGGGTGGCAAAGCTCCCCTGGAGGGAAAGGAAAGGGGACCATCAGGGGGGATCTGGGCCCTGGCACCAGGGCAGGAGAAAATATCCCTGGAACCTGCTCCAAGCTGTCTTGGAGACATCTTCCTGAGAGCAAGGTGGGCACCAGGATGGGCCTCAAGGACCTGGTTCCCGTCAGCTGAGCTCAGAGAGGGTCCCTTCACTCCTGCCCAGACACCACCCCCTCCTTTCCTGCCCGGCCAAGTGCCCCTAGGACCACAAGATGATTCAGTAAGAAAGCTCAGCAGGTCTCGGCTCTAAGCTCCTGCCCCAACCAGGGTCAGAGCTTCACGGGAAGGCAGGTTTATCACTATGTGCTTGAGGGGGCTGCCAAGGTCACGTTTATCCTGTTGCCTTCACAGGCAGAGAAATGCAAAATCACCGCAGGCTTAGCCCAGCTCTGGAGCTGGAGGATGGTGAGTGCTGAGCACAGCCCCAAGCTCCTGCTCCTGCAGTGTCCTCAGAGCTGACACCAGCAGGGTGCAGCTCATCCCAGCCCCATCGCCGAGCTGTTCCTCCAGCACTCAGCTCTGAACGTGAGCTTCAAGGGACCTGAGCCATCGTCCAGCTCAGCCTGTCCTCACTCTGAGGTAGGAACAGATCCTGGGTGTCCTGGACTCCCCATCACTCACCTTCTGTCAACTTCAGGCCCTCACACATTCGTGCAAAGATGCCCCTTCAGATGCCACATTTCCAGTGCCACAAATGGCCCTGGTTTTATTCATCCTGTGCCTGATAAAGCATCATCAGGCAGGAGGAGGGAGGGCATGGCAGGGAAACCAGATCCCATCTAATTGCAACAAGAAGTGACAAGAGCTGGCACAGAAGAAGGGAGAGGGCAGTGCCCTCCCAGGAACAGCACTGCGGCTACCAAAGAGCTCTCTCATATGACTAAGCCCTTTCCAACAGTTTTATGTTTTAGGACACAAGTGCTACAAGCTCCAGGGTTCCCGAAGAGCCCTCGTGCTCTGGCCTTGAAGCAAATTCAGCTCCCACACAGGACTTTGCTTGTTCTGAGGAGCCCGAGGCTTAGAGCCCACAGGAGCTGATGGGCAGCAGTAAAATCTTGTGGGATCATGGGCTTGAAGGCACCCATTCATCTGCACTGCAGACATCAATCCATCCATTCATCCATCTGGAGATAAGCCACGAGGTGACAGTTTGTGAGGTGACATTACACTGAACAACCCAGGGTCTCCTCAAGGACCATGTTTTTCAACACGACCACAGCAGTGAGTGGGTGTGAGGAGGTGAGGAAGGAGGAGACGTTTGGGAAGAACCAGGGAATACACTGACCCCATGAGATAACAGACGGGAAGCAACGGGATGGGTCCCCCAAAATTACCTGTCGTTCTGGGGAGCAGTAGGTTTTGAGGCTGGGGAACCTCCACCGGCCCGTCCAGACCTGAGTAAAGAGAAAACACAACGATGCAATTAACTTCTGATCTTGCTGAACGCAGCAGTGATGTTCTCAGAGAGAGCTGAGAGAGAAGCAATTCTCTAAGAAGAACTCTAAGAAGGGCTTCTTTAAGAAGAGAAACCCGATTTGGGGTTGGGTTTGTTTCCGGTTGAAGAGAAGCCGGTGGGGATCCCCGGAGTGTGACAGCCCTGTGTCTGCAGGGGGAGATGCAGACCTGGCTGTTCCATCACTAAACTCCCTCCCAGCAAGGTCTGCCCCTTCATTAGTTGCTCAGGAGGGGGTGAAACCTAATCTGCCTTCAAAAACGCTCTGGACTTCTCCTGAGACTTCAGATCTTCCCGAGCTGCTGGGTTCTCAGCTCCCAGGAAGGGCCATTTCCCAGAGCTTCTCTCCACCCCACATTTATTACAATTAAGCAGGAGCCTTGCTCCCCTTTGGTGGTGTTGTTTCCTGCCATCGTGGGGACCCCAAAACATGTGCCACGTGTGCTGCTTCTGCAGGCTGGAGAACAGAGAACTCCTGGGGGGATGATGAGGGAAAGGGGAGGGAGAAGAGGAGTGCTCCTCGGTGGCCACACTTACGTCGGGCTGCTCTTCTTCTCATCCTCAGAGTCTGAGTTATGGTGGTGGATCCAGCTCTTATCTCCTTTCAGGGTGGTACGAACCTTCATCTGCTTAATGATTCTCCTGCGGTCCTCATCTGTGGGTGGGATGTAACCTCCTGGGAGGGGCAGAGGGAAGGAGAGAGAAGTTGCTGAGAAAGGGCAAGAATTGGGAGTGTCAGCAGGGGAGCAGGGGTGAATCTCAGAGCAGGGAGGACAGGTCTCCTTCCCACCAGAGATTCACACAGTGAATGAGTCTTTTGCCACTTCAGGTGGAGGATGGAAACCAGCTGCTGTCACCCAGACTTCAGGATCAATGTACCCTGATGCACCACCTCCTCTGCAGAGATCCATACGGCTTTTACTCTCCTTTCAGAGGGTTGTTTAACGTTAATGAGTCATTTTCCCTCAAGAAGACCAAAGACATTCAGTGGGTGGTCTGATCACATATTTGCAAAGAGTTTCCTCTGGCATTTCCCATCCCATCAGCTCCAGCAGAAGGCTTTTTGGGTTTGTGGGAGGGGATGATGCATCTGGAGTGTGAAGCTGAGCCAAGAGCTGGGGGTTAGAGGTAAGCCATGAAATGCAAACACCCAGCTGCCAGCTTTCTCTGGTGGCCTGTCACGTCCTTTGGGTCCTCATTTCCACATTCTTGTTTACAAAGTTCAGTCTCAAAAACATCTTCTAAAAACACGTCTCCCAAACAGGGTGGTTCTGGCCCAAACGTGGAAATGTCCCATCCTGTACGGTCCCTCTTTGGCTGCCCAACAGCAGCTCTGCCACCCTCCTCTTCCTGCCCCTTGTCCCTCTTCAGGCAACCAACCACAAGGACATTCCCTGCCTGAGAAAGCCAGCAATGGCAATTAAAAAGGTAAAATTAAAAAGTAGGAAATTGCAGAAGGTCATGGATTAGGAGCTGCCAAATCCTCCCGGTGGGAAAAAGATTGGGTGAAAAAAGCACTGGTAAATGGGGAGGAATATTAAAGTATTTATTCAATATAAGGAGTATTTATTAAAATATAAAAATTATTGGGAGCAGGCAGGGCAGGAGAGGGGAGGCTGGGGAAGGGGAACCCTCTCTCACAAGGGAAGGGAACGAGCAGGTGACTGATGTGAAGGGCTTCAATCCTCCTCGAGTGCCAAAGTCCTGTGGGACCAAATTGATTGCAGCTGGATATTATATTTAAAAAAATAAAAAAAAAAAGAAGAAGAAGGCATTTTAACTGGGAAATTCCCCATCCAGCCCCAGTGTGATTTTTTCGCACTCCTTTGATAATAAGACATTGTTAGGAGTTTATTAATAATAAAAGCAGTGTTCTCAGGACTGTATGGATAGCACACACTGCACAAGGGCAGTCTCCAGCCCAACAGCCTTTGGTTTTTATCTCTAGAGGAGAAGACCAGCGGGTGTGGGCAGACAGAGATTGAGGGACATCATCCTCATTGGCTGCTGCACGGGCTGCTAATTGCTGCTGTATGTTCAGTAGGCAGAATTTCAAGGAGGGTCTTGGAAAGAGTATAATCTGGCAGTTTATTAGTCTTTTGCTCATCTCAAAGTCTCAGCTGGGCTACAAGCCCTCCAGCTCTCCATACCTTCCCAGATACTGAAATTATAGCCAAATGCACCTAGTTTGGGGACTGGAGGGTGGAGCAGGTCCCAGACAAGGAAGGGGTGACCCCTGTCCTGGGGCACAGCGCTCTGGGGGAGCCGTGCAGAGATGATACAGCAGATACAGCTGGGCAGAGAAGGCCAAGGGGAGCCATGAGAGCTTGGGATGGGGAAAGGAATTACCTTTACTGACACCCAGGGACATCATGGTGCTCAGAAACGCCTTCCCCTGCCGTTACCGTTTGAAGACAACAAGGCCCTGGAAGAAACAGAAAAGGGGAAAAGCCGATTAGCAGTTCTGATAGACAGAAAAAACTCTGTTATGTGGAAGCACCACAGCAGCCACGGAGCCTGGAGGATGGGGGGACTGTGGCACATACACCAGAGCTGTGATTCCTCCCCATCCTTCAGCATCAAGAATGGGAAGAATCAAAGGGGGATGTTCTCCACACCAGAAAGGTGTCACATCAGCCATGAGAGATGTGACCTTCCAGCTCTGGGAGGAAAGCAGTGGAGGAACCTTTGCAAGCAAATGAACAAACAAAAGAAAGCAAAACCCCTCCAAATGGAGCCCCTCAAATGTTTTGAGACTAGTAGGTCCCAGGTTAATTCAGCACCTGATGCCAGGGTTATCAGAAATGTTTCTTTCCTTCTTGCACTCTGTAAAGTTTTCCACATAAGCTGTGGGATGAGCCCTGATTTCAGAGGAGAAGAATCAAGGGTAACTTCCAGCTTGTACAACCCTCCGTTCCTTTCCTTGCCAAAACTCTCTGCTCAACCTGGATTCTTCAGGGCCTCTGCTATTTGTGCACAAAACGCCCAACCTTGTTTGGGAGCCCGTGAGTCTAAAATTAGGTTGTTATTCCCTGCTGGTGGGCTTGTCCCTGCAGTACTGCTGCCCACGAGGAACACCGAGCCCTGAGCTCACAGTGCTGCCTCTTGGCACGCTCTCCTCCTTTGGCTTGTCTCGGCCCGAGATCTTCCCCCTGCACATCCACTCCTCACCCAGCCCGTGCTGGGACGGGGAACAAGCCCTCTGCTCTCACCCCGAGGCTCCCTCTCCCTCCCACAAACACTCCCAAACATTATTAAGTCAGCCTTCACCAGGAGCAGCCAGCCCACCTCTTTTCTTATCCTGCCCACATCCCCCTTCCCACCCAAATTTAATTGACGCTGCTATTTAGAGAGAGAGGAAAACTGTAGTGTTGCCCTACGGAGCCATGAAGAACCTCAAAATACTTGGGTGTCTTTATGCTAAAGGTGGAGAAATGGCTGCAGCCTCCGGGAGCACAACTGACAGACCTGGGATCTGGCAACTTTGGGTTAAAAAAGAAATCACAGCATCTTGGACCTGCACATGGAGAAGCCATGTGGCTTCATTACCTACAGGGTCCGAGCAGGGGGCTGCCAAGGTCACGTTTATCCTGTTGCCTTCACAGGCAGAGAAATGCAAAATCACCGCAGGCTTAGCCCAGCTCTGGAGCTGGAGGATGGTGAGTGCTGAGCACAGCCCCAAGCTCTTGCTTCTGCAGTGTCCTCAGAGCTGACACCAGCAGGGTGCAGCTCATCCCAGCCCCATCGCCGAGCTGTTCCTCCAGCACTCAGCTCTGAACGTGAGCTTCAAGGGACCTGAGCCATTGTCCAGCTCGGCCTGTCCTCACTCTGAGGTAGGAACAGATCCTGGGTGTCCTGGACTCCCCATCACTCACCTTCTGTCAACTTCAGGCCCTCACACATTCGTGCAAAGATGCCCCTTCAGATGCCACATTTCCAGTGCCACAAATGGCCCTGGTTTTATTCATCCTGTGCCTGATAAAGCATCATCAGGCAGGAGGAGGGAGGGCATGGCAGGGAAACCAGATCCCATCTAATTGCAACAAGAAGTGACAAGAGCTGGCACAGAAGAAGGGAGAGGGCAGTGCCCTCCCAGGAACAGCACTGCGGCTACCAAAGAGCTCTCTCATATGACTAAGCCCTTTCCAACAGTTTTATGTTTTAGGACACAAGTGCTACAAGCTCCAGGGTTCCAAAAGAGCCCTCGTGCTCTGGCCTTGAAGCAAATTCAGCTCCCACACAGGGCTTTGCTTATTCTGAGGAGCCCAAGGCTTAGGAGTTGATGGGCAGCAGTAAAATCTTGTGGGATCATGGGCTTGAAGGCACCCATTCATCTGCACTGCAGACATCAATCCATCCATTCATCCATCTGGAGATAAGCCACGAGGTGACAGTTTGTAGGACATTACACTGAACAACCCAGGGTCTCCTCAAGGACCATGTTTTTCAACACGACCACAGCAGTGAGTGGGTGTGAGGAGGTGAGGAAGGAGGAGACGTTTGGGAAGAACCAGGGAATACACTGACCCCATGAGATAACAGACGGGAAGCAACGGGATGGGTCCCCCAAAATTACCTGTCGTTCTGGGGAGCAGTAGGTTAGGACATTACACTGAACAACCCAGGGTCTCCTCAAGGACCATGTTTTTCAACACGACCACAGCAGTGAGTGGGTGTGAGGAGGTGAGGAAGGAGCAGACGTTTGGGAAGAACCAGGGAATACACTGACCCCATGAGATAACAGATGGGAAGCAACAGGATGGGCCCCCCAGAATTACCTGTCGTTCTGGGGAGCAGTAGGTTTTGAGGCTGGGGAACCTCCACCGGCCCGTCCAGACCTGAGTAAAGAGAAAACACAACGATGCAATTAACTTCTGATCTTGCTGAACACAGCAGTGATGTTCTCAGAGAGAGCTGAGAGAGAAGCAATTCTCTAAGAAGAACTCTAAGAAGGGCTTCTTTAAGAAGAGAAACCCGATTTGGGGTTGGGTTTGTTTCCGGTTGAAGAGAAGCCGGTGGGGATCCCCGGAGTGTGACAGCCCTGTGTCTGCAGGGGGAGATGCAGACCTGGCTGTTCCATCACTAAACTCCCTCCCAGCAAGGTCTGCCCCTTCATTAGTTGCTCAGGAGGGGGTGAAACCTAATCTGCCTTCAAAAACGCTCTGGAGTTCTCCTGAGACTTCAGACCTTCCCGAGCTGCTGGGTTCTCAGCTCCCAGGAAAGGCCATTTCCCAGAGCTTCTCTCCACCCCACATTTATTACAATTAAGCAGGAGCCTTGCTCCCCTTTGGTGGTGTTGTTTCCTGCCATCGTGGGGACCCCAAAACATGTGCCACGTGTGCTGCTTCTGCAGGCTGGAGAACAGAGAACTCCTGGGGGGATGATGAGGGAACGGGGAGGGAGAAGAGGAGTGCTCCTCGGTGGCCACACTTACGTCGGGCTGCTCTTCTTCTCATCCTCAGAGTCTGAGTTATGGTGGTGGATCCAGCTCTTATCTCCTTTCAGGGTGGTACGAACCTTCATCTGCTTAATGATTCTCCTGCGGTCCTCATCTGTGGGTGGGATGTAACCTCCTGGGAGGGGCAGAGGGAAGGAGAGAGAAGTTGCTGAGAAAGGGCAAGAATTGGGAGTGTCAGCAGGGGAGCAGGGGTGAATCTCAGAGCAGGGAGGACAGGTCTCCTTCCCACCAGAGATTCACACAGTGAATGAGTCTTTTGCCACTTCAGGTGGAGGATGGAAACCAGCTGCTGTCACCCAGACTTCAGGATCAATGTACCCTGATGCATCACCTCCTCTGCAGAGATCCATACGGCTTTTACTCTCCTTTCAGAGGGTTGTTTAACGTTAATGAGTCATTTTCCCTCAAGAAGACCAAAGACATTCAGTGGGTGGTCTGATCACATATTTGCAAAGAGTTTCCTCTGGCATTTCCCATCCCATCAGCTCCAGCAGAAGGCTTTTTGGGTTTGTGGGAGGGGATGATGCATCTGGAGTGTGAAGCTGAGCCAAGAGCTGGGGGTTAGAGGTAAGCCATGAAATGCAAACACCCAGCTGCCAGCTTTCTCTGGTGGCCTGTCACGTCCTTTGGGTCCTCATTTCCACATTCTTGTTTACAAAGTTCAGTCTCAAAAACATCTTCTCAAAACACGTCTCCCAAACAGGGCGGTTCTGGCCCAAACGTGGACACGTCCCATCCTGTACGGTCCCTCTTTGGCTGCCCAACAGCAGCTCTGCCACCCTCCTCCTCCTGCCCCTTGTCCCTCTTCAGGCAACAAACCACAAGGACATTCCCTGCCTGAGAAAGCCAGCAATGGCAATTAAAAAGGTAAAATTAAAAAGTAGGAAATTGCAGAAGGTCATGGATTAGGAGCTGCCAAATCCTCCTGGTGGGAAAAAGATTGGGTGAAAAAAGCACTGCAAAACACGTCTCCCAAACAGGGCGGTTCTGGCCCAAACGTGGACACGTCCCATCCTGTACGGTCCCTCTTTGGCTGCCCAACAGCAGCTCTGCCACCCTCCTCCTCCTGCCCCTTGTCCCTCTTCAGGCAACAAACCACAAGGACATTCCCTGCCTGAGAAAGCCAGCAATGGCAATTAAAAAGGTAAAATTAAAAAGTAGGAAATTGCAGAAGGTCATGGATTAGGAGCTGCCAAATCCTCCTGGTGGGAAAAAGATTGGGTGAAAAAAGCACTGGTAAATGGGGAGGAATATTAAAGTATTTATTCAATATAAGGAGTATTTATTAAAATATAAAAATTATTGGGAGCAGGCAGGGCAGGAGAGGGGAGGCTGGGGAAGGGGAACCCTCTCTCACAAGGGAAGGGAACGAGCAGGTGACTGATGTGAAGGGCTTCAATCCTCCTCGAGTGCCAAAGTCCTGTGGGACCAAATTGATTGCAGCTGGATATTATATTTAAAAAAATAAAAAAAAAAAGAAGAAGAAGGCATTTTAACTGGGAAATTCCCCATCCAGCCCCAGTGTGATTTTTTCGCACTCCTTTGATAATAAGACATTGTTAGGAGTTTATTAATAATAAAAGCAGTGTTCTCAGGACTGTATGGATAGCACACACTGCACAAGGGCAGTCTCCAGCCCAACAGCCTTTGGTTTTTATCTCTAGAGGAGAAGACCAGCGGGTGTGGGCAGACAGAGATTGAGGGACATCATCCTCATTGGCTGCTGCACGGGCTGCTAATTGCTGCTGTATGTTCAGTAGGCAGAATTTCAAGGAGGGTCTTGGAAAGAGTATAATCTGGCAGTTTATTAGTCTTTTGCTCATCTCAAAGTCTCAGCTGGGCTACAAGCCCTCCAGCTCTCCATACCTTCCCAGATACTGAAAAGGTAAATGGGGAGGAATATTAAAGCTCATCTCAAAACCTCAGCTGGGCTACAAGCTCCCCAGCTCTCCATACCTTCCCAGATACTGAAATTATAGCCAAATGCACCTAGTTTGGGGACTGGAGGGTGGAGAAGGTCCCAGACAAGGAAGGGGTGACCCCTGTCCTGGGGCACAGCGCTCTGGGGGAGCCGTGCAGAGATGATACAGCAGATACAGCTGGGCAGAGAAGGCCAAGGGGAGCTGTGAGAGCGGTCAGATCCCCAACAGCTTGGGATGGGGACAGGAATTACCTTTACTGACACCCAGGGACATCATGGTGCTCAGAAACGCCTTCCCCTGCCGTTACCGTTTGAAGACAACAAGGCCCTGGAAGAAACAGAAAAGGGGAGAAGCCGATTAGCAGTTCTGATTGACAGAAAAAACTCTGTTATGTGGAAGCATCACAGCAGCCACGGTGCCTGGAGGATGGGGGGACTGTGGCACATACACCAGAGCTGTGATTCCTCCCCATCCTTCAGCATCAAGAATGGGAAGAATCAAAGGGGGATGTTCTCCACACCAGAAAGGTGTCACATCAGCCATGAGAGATGTGACCTTCCAGCTCTGGGAGGAAAGCAGTGGAGGAACCTTTGCAAGCAAATGAACAAACAAAAGAAAGCAAAACCCCTCCAAATGGAGCCCCTCAAATGTTTTGAGACTAGTAGGTCCCAGGTTAATTCAGCACCTGATGCCAGGGTTATCAGAAATGTTTCTTTCCTTCTTGCACTCTGTAAAGTTTTCCACATAAGCTGTGGGATGAGCCCTGATTTCAGAGGAGAAGAATCAAGGGTAACTTCCAGCTTGTACAACCCTCTGTCCTTTCCTTGCCAAAACTCTCTGCTCAACCTGGATTCTTCAGGGCCCCTGCTATTCGTGCACAAAACGCCCAACCTTGTTTGGGAGCCCGTGAGTCTAAAATTAGGTTGTTATTCCCTGCTGGTGGGCTTGTCCCTGCAGTACTGCTGCCCACGAGGAACACCGAGCCCTGAGCTCACAGTGCTGCCTCTTGGCACCCTCTCCTCCTTTGGCTTGTCTCGGCCCGAGATCTTCCCCCTGCACATCCACTCCTCACCCAGCCCGTGCTGGGACGGGGAACAAGCCCTCTGCTCTCACCCCGAGGCTCCCTCTCCCTCCCACAAACACTCCCAAACATTATTAAGTCAGCCTTCACCAGGAGCAGCCAGCCCACCTCTTTTCTTATCCTGCCCACATCCCCCTTCCCACCCAAATTTAATTGACGCTGCTATTTAGAGAGAGAGGAAAACTGTAGTGTTGCCCTACGGAGCCATGAAGAACCTCAAAATACTTGGGTGTCTTTATACTAAAGGCGGAGAAATGGCTGCAGCCTCCGGGAGCACAACTGACAGACCTGGGATCTGGCAACTTTGGGTTAAAAAAGAAATCACAGCATCTTGGACCTGCACATGGAGAAGCCATGTGGCTTCATTACCTACAGGGTCCGAGCAAGGTGGGCTCAGACCTTGCTATCTGCAATTCCGGGGTGCATTTGGTGCTCTCTTCTATTTACTCAACTCTTTCCTATTCCTGGACAAAATAAAGCTGAAGCAAGTGGAAAAGAACTATCCCAAGAGTTTGATACGGCCCTGATCCAAGAAAAATTAGGGGCAGAATCACAGAATGACAGAATGGTTTGGGTTGGAAGGGACCTTAAAGCCCCCCCAGTGCCACCCCCTGCCCTGGGCAGGGACACCTCCCACCAGCCCAGGTTGCTCCAAGCCCCCTCCAACCTGGCCTTGAACCCCTCCAGGGATGGGGCAGCCACAGCTTCTCGGGACAACCTGGGCCAGGCTCTCACCACCCTCACACCAAACAAGTTCTTCCCCACAGCTCAGCTCCATCTCCCCTCTTTCAGTGTCAAACCCTTCCCCCCCATCCTATGGCAGTGGGTACAGGCTACAAGCTGTCATGTAACGGAGTTATTTGGAAGCTGGAGAGATGTCACTTCTCCGGCAGCGTAACTGGGAGGGGATCACTCCCCCAGCACAGATCTTTTAGAGGAATAAGCAGAGGTTTAGGAGCGTGTTGGACGGGCTCTCGGGCAGGGCTGGAGCGAGGGCTGTGGCTGTGGGAGGTGCAGGATGAACTCTGGTCACCACGGTGGCTCCGCCGGGCACGTCCTCCAGCCCTGCAGGAAACATCCCCGCTTATTGCTCAAACAGAAACTTTGCTTCTTAACTCACACGACTCCCCTGACAAATACACCCGAAAAGGAAGGGAAGCCGTGAAGGGTGGCACCCAGCATGTGCACAAAAACGTGCCAGAAACTACACGTTGGCCAAGCCTTCTCCTCCGGCGCTGCCTTCCCTCTTCCCAGCCCCATGGCCCTGGGAGGGACCACAGAGGCCGTCACGCTCCCCGGCTGTTTCTGCCTTTGACAAACAGGCGTCAAACGGGCTGGTGGGGCTCACTGGGCTGGGCTTTCAGGGACTGGAGGGTGGGTTTTGTTGCCAGCCTGCTTTTTCCAGGGATGAATCACGCGAGGGTGAGGTGGCGGCGGCGCTGGGGGGTGTCCCCGCAGGGGGTGACCCATCGGGGTGTCCCTGCTCCGCGGGCAGAGACCTCCGGGGTTAGAGCTGCCTCCTCTCCTGCCCCACACCGTAAGGAAGGAGCCAAGAATGAGCCTCTTTTTGCTTCTTTACAACACAGTTTTCTCTCTTTCATTAACAAAGGCTGACAAGGGGCTGTTTTTACCCTTCCCCTGGGGATCAGGGCAATACAGCCCGAGCAACATCACCAGCAGCTGAGTGGGTTCAGCAAGAAAAGAGCTATTCAATACCCTATTTCTTGCCCATGTATCTAATCCCCTGCTGCAGGCTCCTGTTGGACATAGGATACTGGGCTTGGAAAAGTTTTGGACTGATCCTATGTGTGCTTCTCATCCTCCACTCCAGCTTTCTTTTGGCTGCTCAGTGACTGGAACATTAAAAGACAATTCAAGCCGGGTTCCACCACGAACCCCGCAGTTGGAATAACTCAGTATTTCTCAGATGAGAAAGGAAAAGCTCCTTGTTTTCGTGCTGGCTGGCAGCGATACCTGGCAGACAAACTGACATCTCTGGGTGCCAAGACAGGAGCTGCGATGGAGCAACCAGCGGAAGGGAGATACCACTAACCCAAACCAGAGACAGAGCAGCAAATTGCTGTCAGGAGAAGCGCTCCCATCTCCCTCGTGACTGTGTCTGCCCAGGTTTTGATGTTCCAGCAGTTGGTGGTGAGAATAAGAAAGAGCAGACATTGCTCCTCAGGCTGCAATGGGACTACATCCCAGTCCATCTGCTCCGACCGGACGGGTGTGGGGGAAGCAGCACGGGATTGATGGGGCCAGGGAGGATCAGGGAGAGGGGGTCTGGCTCCAGAGCACTGACACTGCACTCCTGGGAGAGAAAGGGCTTCCCACTGCTCCAGGGACGGCTTAGAAACCAAAACAGCTTCCTCTCTTCAGCAAGGTCTGAGTTTAGGCTTCAACATGTGCTATAGGACACGTTTCAAAGCATTTTTGCCTTTATCTTCAAATTCTTTTGAATCTGTGGCGCAGAACATCTCAAAGACCTCAGCTCCTCTCATCACCACGCTTACAAAAGGTGGAGATCTCCACCTCACGTAGACCAAAACCCCTTCTGCCTCTAACTCTATCCCTTCCCTCTTGCCTCACAGTCAGCAAACAAGCTCTGCTGGGCTGGACACACCTTTCTCCCCTGTTTAGTCATTCCCTAGTACTAACTGCTCCTGCTGTGTGACTGGAACACCTCTATTATAAAAGGACATGCAGGAAGTCACCAAGTCACTCTATTTTTGATACCAGAGCTGTTCAGAAATATATATTTTCTCCCAAACATCCACTACAAATATAAAACTTGAGACAAAAAAAATCCATTTAAATGAAAATCCCCATTCCCTCCCTATTTATAAAGGAGTTTTTCCTCCAGAAGCCCAGTGGGAGCCCTTCAGAGCCAACGGCCTCCTGTTAAGTGTCTGCACACCACCAGTGCCATAGGCCCTTGATCCTAATTGGCACCCTTGGGTGCCATCGTTATGTAAATGAGCAATAATCCTTCTTCACTTCCTGGCACAAACAGTTATTGCAGGCTCTGCTGCCCCATTAAGCACTGCCCAGCTTGCTCCAAAACGGCTGCGCTTTGAGGGATGATTCCCTTCAAACACTTCCCCTGGACAACCCTCAGAGCTGCCTGGGGGTTCCCCTTTGCAAAGAGCCCTGGGATCCTGAAATAAATAGGAGGTTGGCTTGGAAAGCACCAGTTAAACCAGTCGCAGAAGGTAAGGAGCTGGGTCTGGCTGCAGAGAGATGTCCAGTTCTTTCCTTTGCTGCAGCAGTTGGAGGCTGCAGCTGCACCACGGGATCTCCCGGGTCCCCTCTGCAGCTCTGTGCTCCTGCCTTGCCCTGACGTCTTACCCAAATAAATCCCAGTATTGCTTCCCAGTTCCATACTGGTTTCCATGCAGATAGAGCCCTGACACTTGGGCTTACAGAAAGCTGTGATGTTTGGCAGGTCTTTTACCTGGGCAGTGAGAGAAATGGGACCGGCACCATGTTGTGAGCGTGACCTGCTTGAGAGGCACCAAACAAGCAATAAAAAACCCAAGAGAGTGGCCCTGGTGCCAAAACCCGCCTGTTGGGGGGCTCCTTCCCCAGCAGGGCTCTGCCACGGGCTGTACATGAAACACAGGTACCTCCATCCATCGCCCACCCCTCAAATACAAAGTCCAGGGAAAACGTCCAGGCAGCATGAGGGACAGAACCCACACTCCTGCACCTTCTGACAGACTTCTCCTGAGCTAAAATAATCTAAATTTCACCTGTTTTAAAAAGCCTCTGACTCACAGAGCCACGCGTTGTGTCCACCCAGGGCACAACAGGGTGCAAATCCAAATGCCACTGACCTTCAAAACACAGTAAGGTCTGTGGGTGCCACAGGCTGCAGCCCAGGCCGTGCCCAGACACACCAAGAAGAGATGCTGAATCCTTTCTGTGGGCATAAATACATTATATTTTTTCTATTCTACATAATTCCTTTGTCTTGGGACTCAGCAGAGACTGGTATTTCTGCACACGCAGCTCTGAATGGATGTTTCAAATAGGACCCAGCGTTGGGACTGGTGTTCTTCCAGCCAGCGTTAGGAATAATATTTGGAGACTGTTTTGGTTCTGTTGTTATTTCTCCAAAAATAAATATTTTGGGAGGGGAAAAAAAAAAAAAGGAGACTGGTAAATATGTGCCAATTTCACCACATTTTTCACCTTAAACCAAAATGAAGATGGAAGTGCTTTCCTTGCAGAAGCAAAGGGC